ACCAGCGCCGGAGCGCCGCGCTCGCACAACACGGTGCGCTGCTGTAATTAACAGGAATTAGCTTTTCTTAAGGAGGGGGATTACGGAACTGCACTATAAAACCCGTATGATACCGAGGCTGGCTGTTTACAGAGTCTGAACTGCTAAGAAAGCGTTTTCTGTGAGCCCGGCGCAGGCACGGCTGGGGCTGGAGGCCGTGCAGGCAAGGCGAGGTTCAGGCTCACCTACCATTGTAGCCCGTCTTTCGGGAAACGAATTAATTGTATCAAAACCGTGATAGAATTAACAACAAATGTCTGTTCTCTTCGACAGAATGAGGGACAAGACTCAGTTCTAAACTTCCAATTACTAGTAGTGTTTCAACCAACCTAAAAAAAGTCTTAATTCTGTAGACCATTGCCAAGAATGGCAACACAACTCTTTTATTCAACGGTGGGAATTTTTTCATATCATTTATAGTCAAAGCCAGGGCTACCTTTACGTGTTGTGTAAATACAAAAGTTGGACTGAAAGTAAATGCTGAAATAGAATAATGCCAGTTACACACACCTGAAAAAATACTAAACTGGATATTAAATATTTTTCTAACTGATTTGCCCTACCACTGGCAACAAAGACCCAGCCTCTGCAAGTATTTTTTTAGCATCTTTTGAAAGTTAGAAGCTTACAGAAACCCCCAACTGTTCTGCCAGCTCACACAAAAAGTATCAAGATTCCTGCTGGGAAGGGATAATGAAGCACTTTCTTACTTCACTATTGTCCTTTGTCATCCATTTGACAATGGCTTTGTATTTATCATCAAATTATTTCTGTATAAGCCATCTTTTACTAAATGAAGTATTGAGGTTTGGCACTGCCCTTCAGAGTCAAATCTCTGCAACTCCTACTTAGGCAGATGTGTTTCCATTTTACTTGTTTGGCGATTAATTTAAAAAGAGACAAAACAAATGCACTTAAGTAAACCCAGCCTTATAAAAATCACTCAAATGTTCTAGCTATGGTTAGTGAAGCTGTAACAATGAACTGCAGCAAATATCTGGAAAATCAGGACGTTGGCAGGAATAGTAAGAACAAGGTAAGAATAATAAAAAAAAACATTGCACAAGGTAAGAGACACAAAACAAGAAAAAGGGTAGACAGCACAGACAGTTAAGGAACTGCAGTTAAGACAGGATTAATAGAGGCAAGTCCTACTGCTGTGGCTAGATCCTAGAGTAAGATTTTCAGGTTTGGACTGTGCTTTTTCCTGTAAATCTAAGATAATTTGAATACAAGGCCTTTAGGGGCCAAAAGCAGGATTGACTCTGCCAGCAAACAGGAGAAATGTCTTTTACCAGCAGGATAAACTAAATGCACTACGATTTATTTTGCTTTCTGATGTTTGTCATAGCTCTTCTTGCAAGCTGTTTTTTTCTAATGATCCACTGAAGATTGTGAAGGCGAAAGGCCAGTATATGTATGATGAGAATGGGAGACAATACCTTGACTGCATAAACAATGTTGCTCACGGTAAGTTAAAGTCATGGTATTGGATGTTATTTGATGCTGTGGTTTTTTAAGCAGAACAAAGAACAATCAGTACTTTTACTACAGTTTCACTATGCTGGGGGAAAGGGTGTTTACTTGGAAAAGTGGAAGGAAACTTTCTTGAGTGTGTAGTTTGGGAAATTACAGGTTTTTTGAACTTGTCCTTTCCAGACCTCCTTCCTGTCCTGTCTTCCTAGAAATGTGTCTAAAACATAGGGGTTTTTTTTCCATGGAAACTCAAGCACCTCAGTGTAAAACTAAAAAATGACATTTTTATGCCACTGCTCAGCACAGTGCCTTAATTGTTTATAATTGACTGCTGCTTTCTTACAGGATCTGAAATCTCTCTAACCTAATCCCTACTAGAGCTAGTGATTCTTTGATACTAAAGCTTACCTGCACCTTCCCAAATTCCTGAACTATATAAATGCCTAAATCCAAGCATCAAATCAGACACTTACTTGCTTTAGCATATAAATTTCCAGTACTACAAACCTTAAATACAGCAGAAGGCAACTTAAAACTTTCTGAGGAGCATAAAAATGTTTTTACAAGATGTACCATTATTAAGGCCCTACTGATAATGATCTGTGTACTACTAGAGAAACAGAAGTGTTAAGCTGTTTTGTGAATGAATAATATGAATATGAAGTAATATGAAGAACTCTCAAACCACTCTCCACATTCTCTTGCAGTTGGGCACTGTCACCCTGATGTAGTAAAGGCAGCCTATGAACAGAATCAGTTGTTAAATACAAATTCTCGTTACCTTCATGACAACTTGGTTGATTATGCAGACAGACTTTCAAAAACCCTGCCTGAGAAATTATGCATCTTCTATTTTTTGAATTCTGGGTAAGTTGTGTATGTTAGAATTGATACTGGGGCTTTACTAGGTATATGCAGACAAGTACACGCTTTCTATCGACAGACCAATTTCTGTCTGGTGTGGATGACTAGATACTGACAAAAACATGAGTTTGGTTCTGCAAGCTCCCTACCTGGGAACTAAACTTGTGCTTTAAGAATGGTTTTACTCTATTTTTAAGACCTTGGACCACAAAATATTAATGTAAATATCTGTTTAAGAATGGTTTTACTCTATTTTTAAGACCTTGGACCACAAAATATTAATGTAAATATCTGCTGTATTAGTTTCCTGTCTGATTTGTCTTCTGACTTGACAGTTATTCACAAAATTAAATATACCAGTGCATTACTTCTGCTGGGTGTGTGTGTGTATGTGTATACTCCTAAGCTTCATCTGGAAGAAAAAAAAAAAAGCCAAACTGTTTCTGAAGTAGTCCCTGTACTCTATATATTTTTTAGAAAGATTCTGTTCTGGCGAACATTCCTACCGAGTGAGTGCCGATTATTAAGGAATTTGTGCCTAATATGCATCAAGTTCTGTCTGTTCTCTGCAGACACAAGGAGCAGTGCAAGGGAGGTTAGATTTCAAAACTCAAGATATCCACAATGAAACAATTATTGAATTTTTCCATTGTAGATCTGAAGCCAACGACCTTGCCCTGAGATTGGCACGGCAGTACACAAAACATGAGGATGTTATTGTTTTGGACCAGTGAGTATATTGGCAATTTGGGGGTACAAGGCTCAGTTTTGGTCAGAGCATTTTTGAAATCCTCCTGCAGTAGCAAGACTGTAACCAGGAAGCTGAGGGAAGTAATTTTTCCCTTGGTTCAATATTTGCCAGCCCAACCCTGAGAGCTGTGGTTGGGTTCTCCAGTACTTGACAGCTGTTGGAAGGAGGCCAGCAGTGGCCTGCCACAATGGGAAGGGAGCCACAGTAGTGAGGTACTGGATTTGTTCAGTTGCAAGAGACAGATCTCACTGCAACTACAGCTGTCTCATGGGAAGGAGCAAAAAAGATGGGAGCCAGGTGTGAAGATGTATGGTGACAGGAAAAAAAGACCTCAGTTTGAACTTGAGGAATTTTGATGAGACATAGAAAAAGTCTTTTGCCATGAAGGGAGTCAGATATTAGAACAGTATGCCTACAGTCACTGGAAACTCCATTGTTGGAGGATATTTAGAAATAGGCCCTTCCCATTGTTCTGCAATCTTGTGATACTGCCCAGGTGTTCCCTGCTGTGATTCCAATCATTGGTGTAGGCAAACCAGTGGAAAGTCACATCCCTCTGCATCCCTTATATTAAAAATAATAATAAAAAAATCCAAATAGTACTAAGCTTACTGATAAGAAAAGAAATTGCAGAGCTGTCCTCAGCTTAAATTACTGAATTTTCTAGCAGGTGATAGCAACTGGCTACTCTTGACTATTTGGAATGTTAATACTAAAGAACACCTGATATTGAGAAAATTACTGTTTAGTTCTGCCAATTGTTTTTTAAGTGCTTACCATGGACATCTGACATCTTTGATTGACATAAGCCCATATAAATTCAGAAATCTAGAAGGACAAAAGGAATGGGTCCACGTGGTATGTACTTCAGCCTATACCTATTACTTGTCAATTGAGTGAAGATGTTTATATGATGTATTGAGTATAGGATACTGTTCTTTTGCATAGGCTCCTGTTCCAGACACGTACAGGGGACTTTACAGAGAAGACCATGAAGATTCAGTAACAGCCTATGCTGATGAAGTAAAAAATATTATTGAGCATGCACATAGGAAAGGCAGAAAGGTAAAACATCATTTCCTTAAGTGTTTGTCTTGTCTTTGAAAAGAATGTGCCTGTCAGTGCAATTTAGTTACTAAGCTAAGTGGTATGGACTTGTCAAAAAGAAAAGATCACAGTAATAATCAAAAACCATCTGAGGTCAAACAGCTTGCTCCACAACTCTCTGTATTGTGTTCAAACGTTGTATGTTTCAGATTGCTGCATTTTTTGTTGAATCTCTACCAAGTGTGGGTGGTCAAATCATTCCCCCAGCAGGTTATTTTCAGAAGGTTGCAGGGTAAGTGGTCATTCATTGTCTTTTTTAACTTAATGTATTTGGTAAATAGATAATTTTTCTGCCTGCTGTAGCACAGAGCTTGAGAAGCTGGAAATTACCCATGCCTTCATGTTAGAATGTGAACCTTATATATGGCAAAGACCTGCTTATAAACACACAGCATACAATATAGGCTTGTACATGTTTGTTTTCTCAAAGTTTGCAACATAACACTTTCTGCATATTCCTAAACAGTAAATGCTGTGTTCTTTTTCCTTTTTAGAGACAATCAAATCTGTTATGTTACAGGCATGTGCACAAGGCAGGAGGCGTATTTATTGCTGATGAAATTCAAGTTGGCTTTGGCAGGGTTGGCAAGCACTTTTGGGCATTCCAGCTTCAGGGAGAAGATTTTATACCTGATATTGTCACTATGGGGAAACCGATAGGAAATGGGCATCCGCTTGCTTGTGTAGCAACAACAAAGGAAATTGCAGCAGCATTTGCAGCTACAGGAGTGGAGTATTTTAATACAGTAAGTAAACAGTTGCCCACTTCTGTAAAGGAGTCTAAGGATTAAAATTAGATACTCATGCTGTGTTTTTATTAGTATTTACCACACAGTAACTAAAGAGGAACTGTGTTTACTGTACTATTTCTATGTTTCTAGTCCGCAACTCCATCTCCATGTATGCTCCTTGTATCACTCACGCTACACTTTCAGTGACATGATTGCATCTTTCTTCCCTTTCCATGGCTCTGTGTCTTCCTTTCCTGGGCTCAGTTTGGTGGGAACCCTGTTTCATGTGCCACTGGATTAGCTGTGTTAGATGTGATTGAGAAGGAACACCTTCAGGCTCATGCCACAGAGGTAGGCAATTTCTTGATGAAGCTACTCAAGGACCAGCAAATCAAGCATCCCATCATTGGTGATGTCAGGTATCAGTACCTTATTTACATTTTTTGCTTTCTCTTTGGTTCTGTCAGTCGAACAGTTCAATCCAACAAATGTCATTTTGATAAATTAAATTTTGTTTTCAGCAAAAATAAAGAGCCTCCTGTACAGTTAAGACAAACTTGAGCTTATGTGAAGTCTCATATACTCTGCCACTCTGCGCCACTACTGTTTTATCAAGTTATTAGCTGCTAAAGGAATTCACTTTCCTGTTTGAACTCAAAAGTTTAAAATGCACAGGGTACAGAAGTGATGAGCTAGATGGAAAACATGCTTAACATCCTGTCCCGTGCTGCCAGTGTGAGCAGATGGAAGCCTGTATTACTGCATTTCTTCAGCAAAACCTCTTTTCTAGCAGTAGCCAAACATCAGGCAATTCTCATGCAGTAAAGGTCTGGTCTTAAAAAAAAACTCAGTTTTTTAGTTCATTTTTGAGTCCTTCCTCTGACACAGACTGGTTTTATTTCTTTTACAGGGGTTGTGGCTTATTCATTGGAGTGGACTTAATCAAGGACCAGGTAGAAAGGACTCCAGCCACAGCAGAAGCAGAAGATTTAATAAAAAGGTACATGGGACAGTTTTGTGAGTTCCTCAACATGGGAGGCAAGCACACAATGACAGACTACCCTTGCCACCCAGGAGTTGCTAAAATACAAACAAACTGGCCAAAACTGAAACCAGTCAATGTAGAAAGGCACTCACTGTGTGACAGCCTGTGGGCTGGTGCTTGGAAGTTTTTCTGAACTACATGCAGAGGTAAACAATTATTATTGTTCTTTCTAGACTTAAGGAAAAATGTATTTTACTGAGTACAGATGGGCCAGGAAGAAATGTGCTGAAATTCAAACCCCCAATGTGTTTTAACATGGAAGATGCAAAATTTCTTGTGGAGACAATTGACAAAATACTAACAGGTAAAAGAATTATCAAAACCTTCAAAAATAGAGGGTGGTTTCTGAATTTTCTTGAAGACAATGCCGAGTTACACTGAGCCTGATTTTCAGAAATGCTAGAATGGAGTCAAGATGGTAAATGCTGAGCACACAACACAGCCTTCCCTTCTCTATTTTGTGCTGAAGTCCTCTAACAAACCTACATCCTCTACAGATGCATGTGCCTTTTAAAATAGCTTTTCTCTGGCTGAGGTTTGAATGTTTAGCTTATCTGAACAAGCATAATTTGTAAGAGATGTCTGCATGTTCCTGAAAGCCATAACGTATGTACTTTTGCCACTTAGCTTTTTATACAACTTTTACACACATAGCATTAAGAAAGTTAGTATAAAAAAGTCACTAAGTCATGGCTTTTCTAAGTTGTTGCTTATTCTCTCTCCAGATATGGAAAAAGAATGTTTGAACCATTAGAAAAAACCAGTTTGTTCTACCTGAGCAGGTATTTACCTATAGTCACCAAGTACTACTTAAAAGCCAAGGTTCCTAAACAGAACTTCATAAGCTCTGTCAGAATAAAGCTGCCTCAGAGATGCTTGTACTCAAAGTTTGCAGGAATTTCTGGGAATCTACAAGCACGGACAGTTATGTAAATCCAGCATTCACAACTACCTCCCATCTGACACTCGCATCAACACTGTGTGCATCACTTGTTTGTGAGGGCCAACATGTCCCAGACATGACTGTCTCTAGAGCATGCAAATGACTGCGCAACCACACAAACAGCTTTTCTGCTTGCTGCTCAGTGCCTTCAGGCTCCAGCCAGAAGCTGGTCCAGCTGCACAACCACTTCTCAGCAGATCTCCCCTCAAGAGTCATTTCAGGTTCACAGTTGGTATCTCATTTTTCAGGATCCATTCACCCCTAGACTCAAAAGTTTGTGGGTATCAGAAAAAGACTGGTCCTGTTAAGTCTTCAAAGTCTTGTTATGTCTTCATCTGTTGAGGTCCCTCAATATGTTGCCAAGAAAACATCTAGCTGTAACTCAAGTTTGCTGCACACTCATGAGCACAGTGTACACTTAACACCCTTTGGTACACTTAGTACTTCCTCAAACTAGTCTAAAAGACAACCACATGTTTCGTAGAATTCAGGATAGCTGGGCAGGAAATGGACCTAAGGTGATCACTGAGCAGTGTAATCATTTAGTGGCCTCAACCACCATGAGATTCACAGTGCTCTGGCCCTGAGCTAAGGAAAAACAGGTTTTTTAGTTCAGTGTAATATTAGTATAGCAAGCACAAGAAATATGTGTTAATATTTTATTTAGCAAGTTAATGGAAAGACATACAGCTGTTTATATTACTTACTTTTAGGAACAGAAAGAATACTTAACAGTGCCAGTGCAAATTAGTGGCCTAATGATTTAATGTGCTTGTCTGTAATCTAAACTAAGCAAGAAAAATGCCTTTATTTTCTACAGGAAACCAAGAATGCAAAGCCTCTTACTTAGTACAGTACTAGTAAGACACTTACATATAATGTAAGCGAAAATGAGGCAATGAAGTAATCTCTTTTAATGATACTTTTACAAAAACCCCGTAACATTTATTTTCTTTCCATAGGTTTCAAACAATGTTCAAGGTCTACTACTAAGAAACATTATTCTACTATAATAATGCACATTTAATCTTCATCTAGTATGTCTTAGACCAGATAAGTCACCTTTGATTTTTCTGTTTTTGCTTATCTTGTTTTTAGTAAAAGCTCTAGGAGAAATAAATTTTACAAGAGCTCGTCTCAACTCTGGAAGTGTGGAATTGGCTTTTATTTAAAACATCATATCTAAACCAATTATAAAGGAGGATCTTTCTAGTGGCCACTACAAAATACATTTTCTAAATTGATGCACTTTCAGGTTATGACTTTTCCAAATTAGGATGAGCTGATGTGTGTTCTGATATTTTTAAAGTCTTCAGCTACCTACACAAATACCATTCCAGGTGCTAGTACACCCAGTCCTTCCCAGGCTCCTCTAGCCAGTTTCAGCAGCCAGTGGCAGAACAAGGTCCCTAAGATGCACTATATTCAACAGACACACTCAGCCACCAGGTTAAGTCAAAACTTCAGTTCCGAATTCCTAACATCAAACACATGAGGGACAGACAGCTGAGGGCTATGGCTCCCAAACCACTTCTTACAAACACAGTCTGTCCTCCAGAAATACCCAAGTAGGATTAGTACATTAGGAGTAGATTACAGCCATAAGCAACAACCTTGTATACAAGCCTTACTTTCACCAGGCAGTTCTTTGTATCACAAACTTTTCATGCAAAGAAGAAAGTGAAAAGCCAGCTCTGCATTTAAGTACCAGTATCCACAGTTTCTGCCTAAGGCCACATCACCTGGTAAGGAAGAATTACCTGACCACCTACTTACAAAAACCACCACAGTAACACCAGCTGACAAACTTGCTAGGACACTACTAGCCAGAAGGACTGCAGCACAACGGTCCTGGTACCATGCAATTTTCCCACTGGAGGGCCAAGTGTTTGCTAGAAAAATATTCTGCTACCCCTTATTTCACTAAAAAAAATACTTTAAGTATGTATTAAAGTATTTAAATTTTAAATCTTGAGACATTAATACTTTTAAATACTGTACTTGTTTGCTTCAGTGATCTGCTGGTTTTTTATGTGCAAGTAAATTGGGCTGGAGGTTACATGGTCCAGCTGAAAAGATTCAAAATCTGATTATTTTTTTTTTTTAATACACAAGACTTTCACTTAACACTAGAAGCATCTTACAGACTTGTAAATTTACAAGCAAGTTTTTCTTTTCAAGAACAGCCAGCAGGGAGCAGCAGATTTTAGTCCACGCAGAAATACCTGCATCCCTTGTTAAAAAAAAAAAAAAAACCAAACTGGAAAAGTCACTAGTAACATGTGTTTGTTTCGTTTCTTAGTTACTTGGTTTGGTTCCACTTCTGGGTGTTACTTGTTCAAATAGAATTTGAAAAAAAATTGGCATATTTTAGCTTTAAAAGGAGATTAGAAATCAAATTGATCACTGCAACAAAGATTAGAAATTTACTTTGTGCAGTAGAGCTTGCTACTTATATTCTTCAACAAGACAGGCAAATCACATGACAGTTATTGCCTTAAAATAGAAGTAAACTAACAGTACAGTCAAAAACGGAGAGTATTTCTAGCTGGTCACTCATCTCTAGAGAAAGAGATGTTTTTTTCCACCCACAACTGCAGTGGAAGTTCTTTTAGCCTTTTCTGTTATACAAAAAAGACTGCAAAAATTCAGACTTTGCATTGGTAATTTAATGTCTGTCCAACCTGCTTTTCAAGGCAGGTATATACATCTATTAACCTGCAGACAAGTCTCAGACTCAAGACAGTGAAATATGAAGGAAGTGCAGCCAGCTTCTTGCACACCTCTTGGCTCCCTCCTGCAATGCTGTCCAGACTCTCAAGCCCTACCTAAAACCTACAGCTCTGGCTCTCCCAAGCAGAGCCCAAAGCAGACACCACTACAGTTAGCTCTGAGCCTCTGTGCTTGCCTAGAGCATGAGCCACCACCACACCAGCACAGCCCCACCACAGCTGGGGCTTTTCACCTGAGCTCTCCTCCACAACCTCCAGGCAGAAGTGACAGCAGGTTTTAACTGCCACTTAACTGCAAGTGAGCACAACTACCAACACAGCCTTCTAGTTTTAAGATTAAAAACATTTAAGCACAATTCTTAATCTATCAAGGTACTGCCATGAACTAAGTTCTGGGAACAGGATACTGGTGTTTTACTAACACATGAGCTGAAGAATGGCACAAGACACTAGATTACGCCTTTTTTATTTCAAAAGCTAGGATAGCTTCAATATCCATGTCATGGTGAATCAGAACACATGTAAAATACCTTACAATACATTAGATTCCAAAAAGGTACCAAAAAGTACAGTAAAATTAACACTTCCTTACAGGAAATGTATGACACAAAAACAATACAAAATAAAAAGGTGGAAAGTGACACTGGTTCCCTAAGATGCATCTCATTCTGTACAACTGGAGTAATGCAGAGTCCATAGTTAACTCCAAGAGGCAGTCCCTAGATGCAGAGCTGCAGCTTTAAGCAGACCCTCAAAATCAGTTTCAGTTTAACCTATTAATAAAATCATTAATTAATATCTTCAGCAACGCTGAAATTTACACACCACACTGTCTAGACAACTAGTTATTGGTAAGTATTAAACATGTAAAACATTTCCAGGGAGCTCTTCCAAGTAAGATGCACATTTAACAGGCCATAGAAATTTATTGTAAAGTTAAATTTGGTACAGAACTGAAGTATCCATCTACAGCATTGTATACAAAACCTATGCAGTCATTTTCCAAAAGAGACCATGCCACTGCATACCTGAATAAGTTTGATCAATATGGCTTGTAGTTATTCTGATGACCACCACGTCTTGGTGTCTTCCCATAATTTGCACTGCCTTGACCTATGAACAAGAGAACAAATGCATTAAACTGCTAATTAGTTACGCTTGCTTATACCCAATACAGTTCTCTTTACTTACTGTAATCATAGCCTGGTCCATATCCATAATACCCATATCCTGAATAATCATAGCCTCCATAGCCACCATAACCTTGCTGATAGCCGTATCCTTGATTCCCATAACCCTGGTTCCAGTAATTGCCATAACCTTGATTCCAATTTTGACTTTGAGCTATAGAAGGGAAAACCATCCACAAAATCCCATTTTAGTACACACAACTTATTTAGAATGTGTCCATACTAAAGTAGTGTGTGTGGTACTTACCGCCGCCTCTTCCACCTCTGCCTCTTCCTCCATAGCTACCTCTTCCTCCACCACTACTGAACTGTTGCTGCTGGTACACTTCTTTCGGCTGTGCTACCTTAATCTCACACTGCAAATAAAAACAAGGAAGAGTATGTAAAGTGTCTCAAAGCAGTGTTGCCCAACCTGAGTACCTGGAGAAGCCAGAGGTTACTCTGGAGGCAAAGGAGGTGTACTTGCTGTGCTTCTGGTCAGGTGAGCAGCACTAATTCATATCCAGGGGCATCTAATTTACCTGGGCAAAGGTAATTCACTGCCAGCCTTTCCAAGAGGCCACTGCTTTCAGGGCATTTTATCTTGCCTATTCCCTACCATCAATTTCACCATGGAAAGAGGTGCTGAGGCCACCTCTCCTATAGGAGCTACAAGGCTGCCGTCTCACCTGGCACAACCTCCATGACACAAGGCTGTTGCTATCAGACTGCTTCACCTGACCTGCACTGAATGAACAAGGTTCTGAGAAATGCACCAGAACGAGTTTTCCTAACAGCCACTGTACACCCCTATACAGTGTCTGTGGATGGACTGTACCATACCCCTACCAATGCCTGGAATCACCATGTATCAAATACTAACAGGTAAAACCAACCAGAACTGACATTCCCAAGACAGGTTCCCAGGCTACAGTTCAAGCTGTCAGCCAACCACCAGGTTCCTGGATCTGTGCACAGTCCAAGAGTAAAGCTACTGCTGCTGCAAAAGGAACACGAGCACCTGAACAAGTCTGGCTTGGAGTTCTTCACCACAGGAACTTTTAAGGTAATCTCCTTTTAATTATCTATGGCTATAACACAAAAACATGTCATAAATATGACACAGAAATTTCTCAGCTCTCTTGGCATTTAGGCATTCATCGCTCTTGAAAATGAACTTCACTGTTAACCAGTGACTTTCCACTGCATTAGGTTTGCCAAAATTTGTTCTGTATTGTATCAAGACCAGTCTTAAACCAAATGCAATCCAAGTCAGTATCAGACAGTACAACCCAGTGTATTAGGGCTCTGAAGTTATATGGCCAGCACTGGCATCAGAGCAAGAAACAGGAACACCTCCAGCCAGCACATGTCATTTGCCTCCAGTCTCTCTACCATTTGTTGACCCATGAGCCTCCCTCCATTAGCTGTTCCCTCAGATGAGCAGTCAGCTCCTCAGAGCATCTCACACCATCCTTACAGTAGTTCCCATAACCAGCTGGCCAGGCACAAGCTTCCGTAAGTGTATATTCACTCCCTGGATCCTTGTAGTGGGTTTACACAACAAGGTTTCAGTAGCAGGGAGGCTTCAGAGAGAAGAAAGCTGAAGCTGCCCCCCAGCAGAGAGAGGCAGTTTCAGCCAGATGCTTGCAAAGTTAAGCATCTGCAAGGCTTTCATTTATGCAAGTGATCTATGCTGAAAATAGACATCTACTTGTTGGAATGGCTTACACTGCTACATAAGCCAATTTCTCCACATATATTTAATGAATGCAATTACATACTTTACACACAAAAGACAATGAAAATAAAAATATATCAATGAAAGCCACAGGTGTTGTCAAAGAGCCTTGGTAGCCTCTATGACAGAGCTCAGCAGCAAAACACCGCTATGGTAAACCTCAAGCTGTCCTTATTGTAAATTTGGTACTCCGACACAAGAGGTCTACAAAAGCCTTTTCAGGTTATAGATGCAGAGGTATTATCTTTGAACAGAGTTACAAGTCAGAGTTTCTACCTTGCTTCCACTGACGTTATGGAATTTCTTCTCCAAAACCTTCTTCACTGGATCCTCTTCCTTGAAAGTGATGAACACAAACCCCCTCCTTTTGTTGGTCTTTGGATCCATTGGCAGTTCAATTGCTTCAATCTGAAGATATGAAATACTATTTTCAGACTCATGTTTAGATGAACAGAAATGCACAGAAATTGGGACAGCAAAACTGTAAATTTTCTCTCTATGCATATTATGCAACACCAAAGTTGCAAGCCTTTCTGTGCTAACACTGGCTTTCAGATCAGAGATTTCCGTTTTGCAACTCTTCAAACTGATTTTAACATCAGCTAAAATGTTTTGAATTAAAGACAGGGGTATCTAAATAGCAATGGAAGCATCTAGTGCAGTAAGTGCACCTTTGCTCTCAAGTTGGGAAACTTCTGGATTTTACAGAAGGCTTGATACATCTAAAGTTAATTTACTTTGAAACTTGCAAATTATTAATAAACTAAATAGCAACAGGAGACTATAGTTTCAGAGTTTACTAAGATACCATTACACACCTCTCCAAACTCTCCAAAGTATTCCCTGATTTTCTCTTCTGTGGCTTCTGGGTTTAGTCCACCAACAAATATTTTCTTCACTGGATCCTTTTTCATTGCCATGGCCTTCTTGGGATCAATTAGTCGTCCATCTAGTCTGTGTTCTTTCTGTTCCAGAACCTAAAAGACAGTTTGGTATGAATAACTAAAGCTCTCCCCTAGAAGTTAAAGATCTGAAATATGAAGCTTAAATTCACCTTTTCAACACTCCCAGGTTCTTTGAAGAGAATAAATCCAAAGCCTCTGGATCGTCCTGTGTTAGGGTCCATCTTTATCGTACAGTCGGTTACCTCACCAAATTTGGTGAAGTAATCTTTCAAGTCTTTTTTGCTTGTATCCCAACTGAGGCCACCAACAAACATCTTCCTGAAATTTCAAGGAGAGAAGAGCTATTCAGATTCAGGAAGCACTAGAGAAAAGCACATGCAGTAAGATGCTCAGTGGTACACACCTCAGCAGCATTGTCAGAACAGGACCGACTGTTCTGAGTGCAACACCTGTATCTTGTCAAAAGGTGCTGGTATTACAGGAGTGCACAAAGGTGGGCTTCTCCTCCCTCTTGTTGAATAAATGCCACAATGAACCCTGGCATTTATTATAGGATATAAGAAATAGTAAGAGTAGCCTGAAATATTCTTTGCCAGTAACTTATGTTCTTAATGGAAGTATTCTGTAATTTGCAAGAAAGCAGTATTCATCACCAAGTACTGCCAACTCAGCTTTTGCAAAGAACTTAGGATCATTCCTACTGTTCTGATAGCATTCAGCAAAGAATAAGGTATCAAAAACAAAGTATTTGAGCTCTCTTAGGTTTCAGTTAAATAGCTGTAAAAATTTTAGTCCAGGTATCTGTGACCTCCAATAACAGTCACCTACAACAGATGGGACTTTGGACTGGCCTCAACTACTATGTTGTGCACTTCTTCCTGCTTAGTTACTGACTCTAGTTCTGTCTTCGTCAGTACTACAGGAGTCTCTCCATTCTTAATCCTTAATTCCAAATAAGCAGATACAGTTCTTCCCTGCCCACTTTCCCATGCAAAATACCCTCCTTCAGAGGGTATCTAGTTCACAGAACTAAATTTAAGGCACAATACAGAAGTGAAGGTAACAAAAAAAAACAAACAGTGATAGTAGGCAATAAGGCATTTTTCAAATGCTTCACTTAAAATGAAAACATTAATAACATGGCTGCATTTTCTATTTTCATAGTTTCCAAGGTAACAAACTAAGCTTTTAAAAGCAGTCGAGCCTTTTTATCTAACTATAGACTGAAGCAGTTTAAATTGTCATTACTCTTGTTTGGAGGCAACCTCGATTGGCACTAGCAGGTAGCAGCACTTCAGAAATTAAACTCTGCTTAAATAAAATTGGCTTTTGATGGTTATGTGTAACTTTGCAATAACCAGCATCTGTTTATGTACACGAGGCAAAGGGGGGGACCTTACAGGGGTTTTGCCCTTTTCTCTTAAACTTTTCATACCCTTTATCAGCTGAAGTCAAGTTTTTTTCAGAGGACCAAGCTGTGCGCTCTTGACAGCAGCAGGAAGCAGCGGGTCCAAGTAAAGCGTGTGCTTCCTGCAGCCATTACAGCACAGCCTTGGAGGAATGGCCTTAGCAAGTTCATTAAGCCTTTCAATACCAGGTCAAAGAAAGAGGCTTGGGGGATTCCTTCCCATCCCAACAGCTGACTGTGGCTGCTTTAACCTGTATGGACTGATAGTGACCTTCCACAGCACACCCTGTCATCACTGACTACACTTAGAGAACAATCAAGAGATTGGGGGATGACAGGAATTTGTCTGGAGGCAGCTTTGGCTGCTTTATTGCATTGAGTCGGAGCTATGGCATTACCACATGCTAAACTCACCTCTTACCACAGCAGTATGTGTTACACTTTGCAATCTGCAGTGCTCTCTTTTGTAACTGGAAAAACTGACACCTAACTAAAATAACAGAATATTTAAAACTTTTGAACCTTTGAAACTAAGACAAAAATATCGGTATTTGGCTTTGCCTTCACAGGCCACATAAACTGGACAAGTGCACCCTTAACATGCAGTCATTTTTCCCTCTTGAGTGTTATCAGTGCAGTTAAATTGAAACTTATTTTAGCTCTTAACAAAACACTGTAAAATCAGTGCCTTGGACGGCACTACATTTTTCACATAGGTCAATCCCTCTGAATAAATTCTTTTCTACGAAGATACGTTTCATACCGATTTGGGGCTGAAGCTTGCCATCTCCTGTTCATGAAAGAAAAAGACTATCACCCTTTTTTCAGCACAAAATACTAGAAACACTAAAGAAAAAATCATACATAGCTAAAAGGCCTGGTTCTCAATCCTTCTAGTGTCTGCAAAAAGTACATCCGGCCCTTGTTCGTGGGAAGCTTGTGCAAGTGTTACTCATTCCTTTATAGTCAATAATCTATTACACTGGCTTCAGCTCTCTGTTTAACCTGAGGGATCTGACCCTCTGGTGCAGAGCTCAGCGGTAACAAAGGGAATTCCAATTAAATACATAGGGTAGCCTGAATAACAAAGACCTGCTTGAGAAACAGCCAGGTAATGTTCATGTAAAGTACGTGTATTTATGAACAGACCAAATATGATAGGGAACAAATTCTTCTTGCATACACACGGATTCCACTACCAAAGCACGGCGAAACTACACTGACTCCTCCAGAAATCCCTTCCAAGACTTAAGGCATTTTCTGACAATGCTGCGAAGTAGCACACCAAAATTGCTCTTACCGATTTAAACACACCGCGCATCGTCTCAATCGTGCTGATTTTCCTTTTGCTTCCATTAAAAAATACTTAGCTTACCCCCGCTGCCTTCCAAGGCGAGGATTATTTTTTATGTGCTTTACATAAAACACACATTTACATTGACGCCGGTGGCGATGGGCTATGCGATCCCCACAAAGTTTCAACCAGCCCCCCTCCCCCAACAGAAAGCAACTCCTTTCATCCGCCCCTTTCGCTAAAGAGGAAAAGGATGAAGAAAACGCGGGAGAGGTAAATCCTCTTCCATTTTACAGCGTGAGACGGCAACAGCCCCGCTCGGCGCCCCTCCCCCAGCCGCCACATGGCGCCAACAAAAGGCAGCGCCAGAACAAAGGAAGCGCTGGTGCTGCAGGGCCCCGGCT